CCCCAAAACCCCAAAACCCCATAATGCTAAAAATCAATAAATCACTTAATTTAATCGAAAGATAAATAAAAAAATAATGAATTTCATTCGGCCTAATAAATATCTCTTATTAGAGTAGATTCATCAAAATCATCAAGATCAATAGCAATTGAAATAATTTTGTCAATAGCTCTGAAAGTCAAAGATGTACTCTGCCAATTAAGAATAAAATTTGGGGTGCCTGTAGCAGTGTTTCCTGTATAATGATATAGAATCTTTAGCTTTACATATTTATTGGCTTCTAATCTTATAGATCCACTAGTTTAAGTGAAATCAATTACTAACTGATCATCCACATAAAGTTAAAAATCTTTGCTAAATCCTGTCACAAAGCTAAATATTTCAGAGTATGGTGGTTTGATAAGGGCTGTAAACTTTACTGAAAAATCTTTGAATTCAGAGTGCATTTTATACCAGTATGAAGTTGAATCACTCCCATCAATATAACTTTATGGCAATATAGTTGTCAATAATGGTTTTCCCAAATGGTTGTTGTTTGTGTAAAATTTAGCCAGAATTCCATCTTAATAATTTAAACCATCAAGGAGAGTATAGTTTAAATAGATGTATTTGTAAATCAAGGGTGTTATAGTATGAGTTGAATCTATAGTAAATTTCATCTAACTTAGAGTTGAATCAAATGTCTCAGAGATTTAAGTGGTAAATGCAGTAACTAAAGTTTTCTAATCATCAAGATAGTACCTAAGATTGTAGTATAAAAAATATCTAGGATGATTATAAAAACTGCAAAGATTAACACTAGTTATTGGATTGCCATAGGTGTCAATAGTATTGAACTGCAAAGAAATCGATTTCTAAGTTAAACTTATTGTTTGAATGCTTTTAACTATTGAATTTGACCCGTCTCTGAGAAATTTCGCTTGCTTAAATTGCTTTATATTGACATACTAGGGAAATCCTTGATAACTAATCCCATTATTATCTTTAATATCCAAAATTTAGCCATCTTAAACTGTAGAAGGTTTAATAGGACACATAATAGTATATGGATGATCGATATATCTATAGCATTGCTTGATGCTGAATTATTATCCACCAGGAGTAAGACTCGGCTTAATAAATTCTGATTGTATCGCAGATTAGCTTTAAAATGCAGTTATATCATTGTAGGGTATAAAATTTGAGTATTTATCTCTCATGTCAAATAAAATGTAGAATGGCCTATTAATGAATAAACAGTCATTCTAAGTATAGGCTAAATAACCTAGGAATGTTATTTTTGTATAGAGCGCATCTAATAACGAATTTATCAAGGTAAATTCAAAAAATTGTATCATGATCTCCCCATTTAAATAGAACTCTAATTTGTATCTGGCAAGTGCAGAGGTTGGTGTAAATTAATAATAGTAGTTTCCAGTTAATGAATCCTAAGGTAGTGTGCTAATTTCTAATATTTTAGTACCATTTAAGTAAACTGTTGCTTTAATCGTATCTGAATATCCTACTCCTCTTTGATTGTAATACTATAAATTATATTAACCTTGAATAATTACATACATAATCTCTAATGATTATTTAGAAGTTAAAGTTAGTACCAGCTCTGTAAATTTCTTCGTAAAGCAATACATTTACCAAATTATTCTTTTCGTAAACAGTACTGTTACTAACCCATCCTTCAGCTAATATAAATATTATAATGTGTCAAATTTCTTACATGCTAGGATATTTATGAGTTGAATTCCTGAGTTTTTTATAGGCTCAAACATAAAAATATTCTTAGGTTTAAAGACCTGATACTTTGTATTACCACTGTCCTGATACAAAGTTATATACCCATTTTTAGTATTGAACTCAGGCCAATTATCTTTATCACTCACAAACACCTCAAAATCCAAGAGTTGATACTTGTGCATTTCTCTCATAAAATATTTTGGTCCCTTTTCCATTGCACTCTTATTAAACTCCAATTCTCTGTCTATGTAGAGCAGAACATCTTTATTTGACCACAGTGTATAATTGAAAAGATTGTTGAAATCTGATCTTATCTTTCCCTATAGAGTCACACTATACCTCTGAGATACGTTTGCGAAGAAAGGATGTAGCTGTGAATTGAATGTCACATTAATTGATGGAACTGTAAGATCTGTAATGTAGCCAGTGAAGTCTGAATTCTCATAAATCACCATGCGGAATTAGCCAATTCTTAAAGCTGTTATAGATACTACATATATACCTGAAACTATCAAATTCGAAGTCAAGAAATAGTTCACATTGTCAGCTTCAATAAAAATTGAGTAGTTTTATGCTCTAGGGTTGAAATTCTTAGGAGCTATATCATTATCTGAATAATTGAGGCAGTCATTAGAACAAGGCCTGCATGACCCATAGTTTGGTCTGAAATTCGTGAAGGTTTGGTAATCATGATGCCACTCGCACCCTTTGAATTTTAGGCATTCTAATTATGAGTGAGAAAAAAAGTTGCAATATCTTTAAGTCTTTGGTCTGCAATTACACTAATATTAAGTAGTGCTTCCGGATTGCAAAGGAGTAAAATCAACTTAAAAGTAGTTATTACTTTGCTCAAAATATGCAAAATTTTAATCATATTCATTCCTTGGCTCTACTACTATTGTAAAATTTTTCCCAGTATAAAGGGTGGAAGGTGTTATAGAATCAATGAATGAAAGACTGGTTATACCGAAGCCGCCAAGTGCCAAATTTTCATAAGATTCATAGAGCTCTAAATCTAATACACCAAGAGACACTTTAAAAGGACTCCCAATAATGTTATAATAGCCAAAGGATATTCCATCATCTATTGTAGTCCAAACTTTCACATAGGCTTCAACTGATGCATAATTTCCAAGAAGTTGATAAATGAATTTGAAATAGCCAGCTATGAAAGAAATAAGTAAAGCATTAATATTATTACTTTAATTTGAAGAGCCAGATAAATTGACTGGGACGATTTTAGTATCTGCAGCCACATAAAGTTAATAAGCTTGATTGCCTTAGTAAGTATCAGAACTGTATTGATTTTCAAATTTATCATTAATTTAAAGATAGACTTGTTCTTTTCTTCCAATAATGGCTTTGGTGACTCCACTACCCACAGCTCTAGTCGTTTCTCTTGAGGGATATGAAGAGTTGAGGTATAGCGAGAAAGGAGAATTCTTGATTTTACCGAAGAATGATGCCTCATTCCTAACTAGAATATTGTACTCATACCACCCAATTACAGTTAGAGTTGTCGTAAGAATGTAAACTCCCTCTCCTTCATATACCTTGGTAAATTCTGTGTTAAAAGTTGAGGTTTTATTTATGTTCGTTTGCTTAATCCTATATTAAGGTTTGTGAGAGCTAATTTTATTACGTTATATCAACGATGCTTGAGGGCACAACATTGTCATACATATCTCTAGCTTGAATCTTTACTGTGAAAGGAATTCCAGCTATTTAATGCTTGTAATCTGTGGATAGGAGGACAGTATGATCAGGATCTACCGAATTTGTAAGTATTTAAATTATGATAGGATAGGTAGGTGCATCCTCACCCCTGAATCTAATATATACTCTGTATTAACCCACAAAAAACCTCTTATACTTCACAAAGTAAATACCTTGAATAGATTAAGAGTTATCAAAAGACTGAATGAATAAAGTTTCATGAGATATAGTTGCGCTGAAAGGTCCTACTATCAGTGCATCTAAGTCTTCAAACTTAAACAAATATGGAACATCCACTATGTTTCTATTCTTATCTCTCAGAGTCAATTAAATGCTACAAATCATGTTGATATAGCATGGACTTGTGGAATTAAGATTGTACTCATTCCAATCTGATTTTGCAAGTGAATCTAAAGATAGGCATAATGGATTTTTATTTTACAAGGACCTGATATTATATTAATAGTGTAGGGAGACCCGTAAATATTGTTCCCATTCTCCTAGATTGTTAGTATTCCATTTTTTGATGTTTTAACTGGATTAATAAAAATTTCATATCTCCTTAGTATAGGATTGTACACACTTTAGGCTATAAATTTAGTTATTACAAAATATAATATACCAGTAACCTAGTTTGTTCCATCATTAACAACAGCATTAAATATCAAATAAGTAACTCCCTCTATTTTATTTCCATATATATCTCTTGGATATATTATAATTGTATTTGAAATTGTGGCTTATAACACCATATCTCCAATAAGCAATTTCGAATTAGTGTCAATAAATTTAATAATTTCCATATCTAAAATATTTAAATCTAAGTAATGTTCATACCTGTCGTTCTAACATCAATAATATCAGTATTGATAAGTGGTTTCAAAATAAAAGGACTCTCTCTTAATTCAGTCATAGCATAAGAATTTAAATCTATCTTACCAAAAGCAATACTGGCGCTTTGCCTGAAAACTCTAATACAGGGTTGCCCTTCTTTATGTCTATAATCAATTCTCATGTAGTAGGGTACATTCCCAGTCATGTCTACCCTTTTGACAGTGAAGTCCTTGGTAATTGCACAACAGAATTCTCCAGTTGCATAGTAACTTCCAAAGCAATTAAACTATCCACTATCATAAACCAATACTGAGTTTATATAGAATCTAGCGGAGGCTTAGTCGCTAAGAGTGAGAGTGAATTTCATATCCTCCTGTGTAGTAGTAGATGCTAATTTGAAAATAACAAAAGCCTCTATTCTTAATGAAAAATAACTGAGATATCTAGTCTCTTTGGTAAAAACATTGGGTAAACTGTTCTCAATTCTTGAGATATAGGGAACTGAAAGAAATCTAGTATTATCGAAGTAGTACATAGAAAAGCCTGATGTCGTTGAGTAAATCCTGGCTGCTCTAAGTTTCAATGATTTGGCTTTAAATACTACAGTATGAATCTCATTTACTGAGTGTGTGGATTTCTGGATCTCAACTTCTGTGTTATCAGTATTCTAAAGCCTCACAATAAATAGGTCATTGCCGTTCGTCTTCTTCGTACCTTTGCCATGATAAGAAAAAATTCTAATAGTATTATCATCTCCAATTAGCATTGATAACTCCTTTTGATTATTATAAAGGTTGTTGATCGTTACTTGGGTAAAATAAGCATCGTTCATATTCACTTCGTCGTCATAGTAATAGATAATCACTCTGTTGTTGTAACCAATTTCAGTATTATAAGATGGATTGAATAAATGAAGTGAAAATATTGTCTAGCTCTCATTGTCTTCAAAATATTGCCTTTTAAAAACTTTGCATTTTATCTCTTTTTCTAATTCTCCATCTAGAAATACCAATTCTCCAAATAGATACTCAAGCCTTGTATAATATGGATGGGTCAGAGATAATTCATAATTGACTGAGATTCTTCCAACTGAAGTGTAGAGACGCCTCACTGTCACTGTAAAAAAATCATCAGATTCTATCACAGTCAGATTCGTCTCAGCAAATTCTATTTATCCATAAGTGACACACTTGAGAGTGAATGGGTCTAGTCTATATGGGTGATAGCATTCTATGCATTGGTTTATATTGCAGTACAAGCACATTGGCTCATAAACTGTTTAGCAGGAGTAACATTTATTGACAGTACTATCCATATAGTAATTGAGATCACATTCAAGACATTTCTTAAGATCGCAGTCGAAGCAATGAGGATCCAATATCTTACAATCTATCTTATCGCAAAGAGATGTCTAAGTACTACTGTAGTATCCTGGTTTACATTCACAAACTTGCCCATCCACACAATAACCATTATTACAGCCAAGTGGACAATCAGGAACATCGCAAATAGGGCCTGTCCATCCAATTTCACATTTGCATTAGTCAGGCTTGATTGGAACTCCATGAACGCATGCTGGATGACTGACTGGAGTATTGCAGTCTGCTCCTTCGTACCCATAAAAGCATTCGCATACTTCTGGTGCAGTACACAACCCATATATACATTTAGTACATATACCTTCACTACATGTTATACCTTGCCATCCTGACTAGCATTTACAATTATTTGGACCAACGCATTCACCATGAACACAAGGAGGCTAGCAAACCGGAGTAGTGCAATCGAACCCTGTCCACCCTTCATTGCACTAGCAGCACTAACCTCTATGCTTCATGTTTTGCTTAAAGCAATTAGAAAAGTACAACTAGCAAGAAGTTCTTTGATCTGCAACTGCAAAAGTGGACTAACTAAAGAAGGAATATGTAAGTATTGTATTATTGCAGTTTAGACTCGTCAAACCATATCTCTATCGTAGTAATTATGATTTATAAATTTACTAAAGCATCATCACAACAAGGTAACAAAGTACACTGATCTGCAGTTAACCCACAACCTGGGAAATGCAAGCCAGTGTTTGTAGGATCATGAATAATCTTGAATAGAGGATCTTTTCCACAATACTAATTGATTGTTCTTGAATTTCCCATTGACCATGTATATGCGTAGCACACGTCCAACTGAAAATTTAATAAAAATGAGTTCACTTTGATTAAAGAATATAATAGTCTGACTTACATATCTATATACAATATCCATCGACTAAGAGGTCGCTCCAAATAGGCATTAATCTTAGACTCTGCATATTCCATTGTTTAAATTGCACCTTGCACATCCTGCAGATCTATCCTAGCAGTCAAAGCCATTAGCTCCGCAGGTATATGTGCAGTTTTCATCTAATTAGAGATGTAATATGAATAATTGGAACTTACTAGTTTCGATAAATAGCTTATCACAATTAGGCTGGCAAGTGCTAAGACAACAATCTCCTCCATCCCATTTGCACTTTAATTGATTATTTTGCTTATCACACTTTCCATTTCCTATCCAAGCCTAGATACATGAAGTCGTATCAGTTGTGATATTTAGAGTCTATACATATTCTTCTAAAATCTTTCCATCATTATCTCCATTATCAACTAGTGAATTTTTAACTAATTTCATGAAATTTACTGATAGCTGGGGCTGGAAATTAATCATAAGGAAAAGTTTTGGTATTGGGTCTCCAAGCATATCTAAATCCAGCAACGAAAATACCTCCGCTTGACTCACTTATATTAATATTTTGGAAAGAAAATAGAATTCCCACAAATATAAACAGAATCGTGTAAATTTTCATTTTATAATCTTTAACCAATAGAATTCATTTATTTTCAGTGCGGGGTTTTGGGGTTTTGGGGTTTT